CTTAGAAACATGCATAGCAAAATACATATATACACTGCCCAGGGGAGCAGCTATATAAAACCATGTGCATGCACTCAACTCTCTCACCACCCTAGCCCCAGGAACACTATCCACGGTCACTAATTCCATTCATCCAAAGAGTGTCTCCTAGATCTCAGCTACCTCCCTCACACAGAACAACAAAACTGACTCGATGACAAGGAGCTGTCGGGTCAGCACTCTGCTCTGCTGTTCTACCTGATGCCAGACCTTGTTTAACCGAGCATCACCCCACTCCAGGAAAGAGTACACTTAAATAAGGAAAGCACCAAGTTAAGGGCGGATATGGCTTCAATCTGGTGATATCAGTGTTTGAAGTCACTGATACCTGGTGCAAGGAATTTTGCTTTATTCTTAGTAAGAACAAAAGTCAAACAGAAACCCACCTAGATGAATTTGCTAGTAAGTATTTTTCAGAACAGAGAATAGTAAAACTACACTAGAGAAAAGGGCTTCTGAGCAGTTGTACACGCCTAACCATCTATTTATCCAGTCAGAGGTCACACTGTACATTTCTCTTCACTACAGTTGTTACATCAGCAAAAGAAACAAAGTATGGAAGAGAGGGCTGACACCAGACACAAGGCGCAGAGTCATCTTTCCTTTCTGCAATAACACAGCATTGTTGGTAAGTTAAAATAGGTTAGCAAACATATCTGCTGGGCAACTGCTTCCCCACAGAGACCGGACTCAGCTCCCACGCAGGAGGGGAGAAGAGCTACACAGCTGAACAGAGCCAGGCACACCTGAACATTCTCACCTGCCTCAAGCTACTCTCTGGGCAGGGAATATTTTATACTAAATCAAAGCCATGGCTCACTACAAACGCATGTGAATGTCCCAGACCCAGTCAAAGCTCCAGCACCATCTCTAAATTACACCTGTGCCCAGTCTGACAAGCAGAGGGGCGGTACAGTGACTGCTCCTTCAACACTGCAGGTAAGCCACAACCGCCTCCAAATAAGAACATTCTCTTCTTCAAATCCTATCAGCCCTGCAAGGGCTGAGGCTCATTTCCTTTCCTCTGGCTCCAACTCGTTCTCAGATGGTCTAGCCTGCACACCTGACGCCTTGGAAGGATGGAACAGAATTCCAACCGTCCAGAGTCATTCTTTGACGTAAGGCCAGCCAGCCCCATCCTAGTCACACTCCAGAGCTTGCCACTACATACAAGAACTTCAGAACACCTCTATTAAGCTGGCAGTGACTTCTCCTGAGTCCCAGTGATCCGGCACAGAGAGGACAAAGGTCAGGAGTGGACTGGCACCAGAGCTGTTTCGGCGGGGAGGAAACTGCTCTGGCATCACCGAGGAAAGGGGGAGGGGAGGGAGGCACGGAGGGACGGAGGCAGACAGTTTAGGAACTGAAATCTGTTAAAGCTACTGTATTGTTCTGCATTCTGCTCTTTCAGTATCACCAGGTACTGGCCCTTCCATCGCAGACCCAAGAAATAACTGAAAATGTCTAGGAAAGCGATAAATTCGTTGGACACAAATAAGGTGTTGAGGAACATATCTCATGAGATAAAGGGCTTTCCCAAAGCTTAAGGTAAAAAACGGCGAAAGACATCTGGCTTAGAGACCACTTAGACCTTTAGGATACGTATTCCCTTTCCTCAAAAAATGGCTTTTCAAATAAAGAAACAAAACAATAAACAAACAAAATACACACCCCCAACATTATCAAGACAGAGAAAAGCTCAAAATATCAGTTTAAAATAATATCAATCCACTAGGATTGGCAGTACTTAAAAAGAATCACTGGCAGTTAAACACACATTTTCGTATTTTTAAAAAACAGAATCTGCCTAAACAAACACATTGAATGAGCACTGGAGCCCACCTTTCTGCCCATTTATTGTGCTGTGTAAGCTGACTGGCTGGTTAGTGGTTTTCCCATATTAAAAAAAAAAGTTCGTAGCATTTGCTCAGAAGGCACAGTTGGCAGACATCCAGTGAGTGGGATTAGAGGTATCAGTCAGGTATTAGCTGGCTTTCACAATTCAAAAATGCAAGGCCAAGCACTGCTGTGAGTGGTAATAGCACTTGGCCCACTAAAGAGAGAATTCCTGGATGGACAACAGGAGAACTCTGGATCCTTCAGAGGAATCCTAGGTTGAAAGAGAAACAAGAGCATTAAGCACATTTACAATTATTTCTTTTTGCAAACACCCCACCTGAAAGCCAGACAATCTATACCTGATATTTGTTCCAATATGTGAACATCAAAGAGTTTAAGAATTTAGGATCCTCAGACATAGAGTAATCCCTCACAGACAGCCATACACTGTGGGAGAGAGATCCAACGGATCTACCATCTCAGGACCATAGTGCTGGGGGGCACCAGACTCAATTGGCACAACAAAATACATAAATCTTGCTCCTCATCCTACATTGGTGAGTAGGGACTGGGGTTTTAAAAGCTTTCAAGCAGCCATCTAAGATGCAGCTAATGGTCTCCCAGAGTCAGAAGCGAAGCAGAGTGCAAAAAAAACAAGGGCATTTAGAAGCAATCACCCCTAGGACATGATGGTCCTCAAGACCAGAAGAACTAGATGGTGCCCAGCTACCAATGCCAACCACTCAGGAAAGGATCAAATCTGGAGATCCTGGATAGAGTGGGAGGAAAAATGTGGAACAAAATCCAAAAATTCAATAATGACCAAAATTACTGGTTAGATGGAGTCTGGTGAGAACCCCAGTACAATGGTCCTGGGATACATTATGGGCCTGGAATAAAACTCACTCTCAGGGGCTGGCTCTCAGCCCAACAGTAAACAAGATGTACAGACCACTCAATCCAGGGTGACACACCCACATACTCTATGGAAATGCATCACTTGGAGCAATCGACCACAGGGCACCAGAGGGGCAACATTCACACGGAGAAAATGTAGGACACACAGGAGTGCATAACTATGAGGGGCACAGGGGGAGGGTTATTGGGCAAGGAGAGGAGGAGACCAGGTTAGGGTTGGGGATGGTAAAAGGGGAGTGAAGAAAATAAAAATAAAACAGGAAGAAAAAAAAGATTTTCTGTCTTCATCTTACTCAACCTTTGAGAACAACTCAACACAGTTAAAAAAAAAAAAAAGAAATTTAGGATTCTCTGTGGTGCAATGGTTAAAGCACTCAGCTGCTAACCACAAGGTCACTGATTCGAACCCACCAGCTGCTCCTTGGGAGGAAGATGTGGCAATCTGCTTCTATAAAGATTCACAGCCTTGGAACCCTATAAGGCAGTTCCACTCCATTCTATAGGGTTGCTCTGAGTTGGAATCAACTCAACAGCAACAGGGTACCAACTAAGCATAACCTTGTCCACTTGATCTAATCTCAGTTCACTCAATCATCTTAATGACAGTAACAGCTATCAATTATTTAGTGCACATTTTGTGCCAAGGCTGCTCTCAGTTATTTAGGTACATTATCTCATTTATCCTCACAACAACCTGCACATTAGGTAATACTCTTGCCACTGTACAGATGAGAAGAATCTGAAGTCTATACAAGTTAACTTCCCTAAAATACACAGCCATTAGGCAGCCAACCTGGGATTTGAACCAAAGCCTAACTGAATGCAGAGCCTATGTTCTTACGATGACTATCCCACTCACCAGCAAGTCTGTACTAAAGGCCTACTAGACACAAGGGGCTATCATTATTGGGAAGAAAAGAGAAAAAAAGAAGACAAGAGGCCACAAATACATTCCTAAGTCTGGTCTTTGTCTATCAGAAAAAAAAAAAATAGCTATAAAGGCAAGACAATACACCTGAAATACCTAACTACAAAAGTCCTGTTAAATATCAACATTTTGGTTGAGTCAATAAGAGTTCAGAGAAAAAACAATTCTACATGGCTAGGTTGGCCAGAGAAGGTTTCAAAGAGGAGGTGGGGTTTAAGATGGGTTTTGAAGGACACGGTATGATTGTGAGTGCCAAAAATAATGCCAGTTAATAAGTAAGTGGCTGTCAGTTGTAACATGACACCCCAAGAAGGCATTTCAAGACAAAGTGTGACCTAGGAGAGGAAAATGGAAATGCCAGTGCCTTATCCAATTGGAGGGCATTATCTGTGGGACTCTGTTTTTCTGAATCACTGACATGTTTGAGAATCTAATGAAAACTATATATTCTGTCCCCCTGAAAAATGCACATATGCACCTACCTATAAAATTGCATCAACAATATCAGGAACTATATAGGCCCCCTGGAAAGCCCACAGACAACAGATCAAGAATCCCTGCTCTAAAAATTCATAGTGAAATATTAAACTGGCCTAGTTTTTAAATTCATTTCTTTCTTCCCAGAGCATAGTTGTCAACAAAGACTTATTTCTTGACTATCTTCAAAAATGTAAGTGACAAAAGAAGTAATTGAGACAAAACAGTGGACACATCCTTCAAAAATATCTTATACTTGGCTTTAACTCATAGCCATGGAGCTATAAACATTTAGACACACAGAACTCAGGCACTGACTATGCCTCAATCAGACAGCTCAGCCTAAAAGTCAGAAGCAAGGTGGAAAGGAAGGAGAATTCAGATCATTCATTCAAGGATAAGGAAGGAGACTAGACTAGACTGACATCTAATTTTCTAGAAAAGAGTAAGATTTATCCATGAGCACTGGGCTCTTGTTCTCTTTCTCTTCCTGATGTCTCTGACTGTAACTGTGCTCATCTCTCAGCAGTAAAAATGAGCACATCAAACCAGAGATGACATCATCTGTTATGCGAGCCATTATAACAAAACCAAGTCTCAACCCATTTTCTTTAGTAACAACTATTAGCACTTGTTAATGCCTTAGCAACTATAATGTGCTTCCAAAACATCATTCTGATTGTGCCTCACAGGAAATCTGTGAAGTAATTAAACTATTCTCATTTTCAGAGGAGGAAACTTGGGCTCCGAGGCAGTGAGTGGCTTTACCAGGTCAGAGAAGTAACAACTCGAGTCAAGTCTAACTATAAATCCTACGGTCTTTCCAGGGAACCACTGGCTTCTTCACAGGAGAGCAACGACGCGGCTTCTTCGCAGAGGAGCACAGCAGCCGCTGCATCTTCACTGGAAGAGCCCAAGATGCCAGCAGCCCCAGCATTAAATTACCCCTCCTTAAAGGCCTCAGAAACATGCTGTATGATACGATTTTCAGTGTCTTTCTGTATGAGCTGCTTATCTGGAAAGCTTCACTGAATAAACAAGGCTAACGTCTACATGAGAAAGGAGCATACACTAGTCCGTGTTTACTGAGCACACTGTCAGCATTCCATGCTGGGTTTACACAATTAGTTAACACTTGTTTTTAATTTGCTTAATAAGTATTCTTAAGGTATTTCACGTGTGTGTCCTGCTTGTCCAAGGACACAGGGACCATGCAGATCTGAGTTCGCAGCTCTACCCTCAGCACCTGGGGCACTGCTGAGTAGATGCTCAGTAACCATCTGCTGAATGAACTCAACGGCAAGGACCAGCCTTGTCAGTGTTACGTAGCTTCTGATTACAACTACAGTACGCTCACTGCAGACTCAACACAGCTGACTAGATGCAGCAATAACCACATTTGATAGAAACAGAGAATAAGCACAGTTAGTACCTTTTTTCCCCTCTTTCTTCCCCTCAGACCATTTCAAGCGTGTTGGTGTCTTGACAGCTGGAGAGCCAGAAAATAACTGTAACAAGAAAATTTTACAGGGGCCTCAGTGTTCTGTCAGTTCTAGAGACAGATTTTACTATCAGAGGAATTACTCACTTATTCAAATTCAGTGTGAAGCGTTTTACGGAGACTGAGGCATTATGTTAGCTGATTTTATTGCTAGCTTAATGAAGAAACCGTGCCTGGGATACCTTGAAGGACTACCCTACAGGTAACCAAGGACTGGCTCAAATGTTACCTGCCCTGAGGAGTCCTCAGTTAGAACTCAATGCTCCCTCCAGCACTCTGTTTATGGAGTATTTCACGGTATTTGTCATCTGGGCTTACAACTATGTTTGCTGAATGAATCAATGAATCACTGAAAACCCACAGAGAGAAGACAGCACAAAGGAAAGGATTAATTGAAAAAAGGCACAGTTGAACGGCCTGGTGTATATAATGACAGTGTATCAATTTTCTCCCTTTCTACAAATATATACATACAGACAGTCGGAAGAACAGTGGCTTACTGAGTTCACATTTTCTTTGCTGGCTCTATCCAATTCACCAATGGCCACACACTCTGGAGTAGGGTACTTGTTTTTCTTTTCTGACATCATCTGATTCCCCAGGACCTTCCGCTGATTTAGGAAGAGAAAATATTTATGTATAAGCATCCAATATATCTGTACAGCTAAACTGGCCTTCAAAACTACAGTTTATTTAGGTTAAAAAAAATCTCAGCTTTCTGATAAATTCTATGGCTCCTCCCATGCCATCTTATACAGGGAGGCCAAAAGCATATTTCCAAAAAAACAAAAAAGATGGAAACCATTGCCTTTCTTTAGGCAATTACTTTTCCTCTACATTTAAAAGGGCTAAAATGGCAGACGCAACTATAACTGACTTAAACTAGCTAATAGGGGCCAATTACCATGTGCCTTTGAGACCACACAAACCCTGTTACTTACCAGTATAGTTTTTTCCCCAAAGTAGCTGTCTCTGGCACCTACTAAGAGATTCCCTTCTTCTTCTCCTCACTGAGGGTGCTCAGGCTGGGACCACTTTTAAGATTTTCCTTTCCTGTCATGTCATCACACAGGACTGGAAATTTGGAGAGGTTTTACAAGAGTTCCTCATATACCCACAAGAAGGCACAGGCCTCCTTAAGAGGACCGCATGACTATACTGACATTCAGAGCAAGGCTAAAAGTCCTTTCATCTCTGAACAGCTTAAGAGCTGATGTAACCTACTGTAACTGCTGACAGTGACAATCCAGCCATCCTTGGAGAAATCTTCCCTTTTTCCCCCTTGGAGAATAAATTTGAATTCAAAAAAAAAGAACATATCAAAACTAGAAAATTATATGCTACAACATAAATATTCAGAATATTCTGATGTAATAAATTATTTCATGAGATGAATTCTGGGGAAAAAAATAGCTAGTCCAAAGAGAGATCAAAGCTCATTAGAAATAAAATAGTTAAAACACAGAAATGTTGGGAAAGTAAGACCAGTACTATTCTCCTTTCAAACGTCAGATTCCACCCTCAGAGAAAGTTGAACTGGGGCTGTCCGGAGCCACAGGACTGGTCAACTTTTTTTGTTCTAATTGTGATGGAAATAAACATAACAAAGCATAGCCATCTCATTGATTTCTGCAGGTACAGTTTATCCACTGAACTTTTCAGAAGACATTTCATTACTCCTTCACAGAGCTATTAAGCAAAAGCCTATAATTATAATTAGCTCAAAAATATCTTCAATTACAATGAAAACACTTTACTCCTCTGTTTTCGTAAAATCTGCAAACATTTGTGCTTAAACTTGTTGTTCTAAAATGTCTTATCCTGAAAGAATGACAATGTCTTCTATAAATTCAAATGTTCCAAATTCTTAGTAAAGAAATGGACAGCTGCCAAGAGGATATTATGTTTGCACTGCAAGCAATGATTAGCAATAGAGCTAAAGCCAGAAGAAGTGCTCACTAAGCAAAATACTGCCCCCACCTAACTTCAGGTCAAAACACACTTATTTGACTAACACATAAAGAAAATTTTTTTTTACTATAATTTTCCTTTTTTTCAATTATCTCTATGACAGGGAAGTCAGAAGGAATGACAGACTTCTCCAACAGAGAAGGAAAAGAGAAGACAAACCCAGGATGTTTATTTTACTAGCCACACCTAAGCTGGTGAATGTACTTCTAGGGTTCTAGTAAGGGCAGTTTTGATGTAAAGTAAGCCTAATGTCCCAGAGGCTATCAACCCCAACAGATTAGGATTAGTGTGAATTCTACACTTAGATAAAGGATAACTAGGGCCAAGATTAGCATTAGATGAAGTTGTAATTGCTCAACAGCTGCAGCGTAAATATAAATAGATATATATTAAACAAGGTAATTTACTTCTTAGAGCAAAAAAGGGCTCCTTTTAACATTGCTGGATTTATAGATTTTAATAAAGCTGAAAACAACTTAAAAACAAAAAAAAACAGTAGAAAACAGAATAGTGCTGATCTATTAAGTTAACCAGAACCTTGCCTTAGTTTATGCCCAGAAATTTGAACCCCATAAGCAAAGTATCTACTGCCACCTGATGGCAATATTCTTGAACTGCAGTTCAGATCATTAAATACCCGTAAGGGCATCTGGTGCCTAAGGCACTTGACTGCTAACCAGAAGGCTGGCGGTTCAAACCCATCAGCCACTCCTCGGAAGGAAGGTTGGGCAATCCTACTTCCGTAGTGATACTGACTCGGAAACCCAAGGAGGGGTCGCTATGAGTCGGGTCCGACTCGACGGCAAATAACAACAACAACAACAACGGCATCTGAATACAGAGTAATGGCAGCAACAGCACAGAAATATGTTTTGTGTTTGTTTTAAAAACAAGATGATAATGAATCTGTTACAAGAAAAGATAATAAGACTGAGAAAATTATTAAGTTCACAAATTTTTAGGTACCTAAAACTCACTAACCTATTGGAAAATCCATTTTCCTAACCATCACTTAATTTCCTCACTTCTCCTTAAGTTTAGAGACTCACACAGTTTAGTGTGCAGTGTGAAGTGAATCAGAGAGAGACGCAACTCTGCTCAGTACTAAGGACTCTGTCTGCACCCCCAGAAGAAAAGGACAGACACTTCTCTCTCCTACTTCTCATTTCTCTCATCAGAGAGCCCCTGATTTGAAACAGTTTCTCTAATTTGAAATATAGCAGAATGTCTTGAAAACTAAAATGTTTCCAAATCTTATCCCAATCCCCTTACAAATGAAGAATTTGTGAAGGATCACAGAGAAGAGAAGAAAACTATAAAAGAAGTCAGACTGTTACATTTCCTCACAGTCCATGCTGAACGAAAGTACAGTGTCCCCACCTTAATAAGTCCACTAAAGGAGCGGGAGCGGGTCCTCTTCTGCACCCGGGGAGTAGAAGGTTCTTGCCCTGGCGTCTGGGTCACAGACTGCTTATTAAACTAAAAAAAAAAAAATTTTATTAATATTCTCCCATCAAGACAGAACATTCTGTGACAACCAATAGCTAAGTCCAGAAAAGTCATGAAAAAGTGAGGATGTACATATATACACACACACACACACACACGTGTGTGTGTGTCTGTGTCTGTGTGTATGTATATATGTATATATATGTATGTAGTAGGGGGGCTGCAAGCAAATCCAAAAGGCAGAAATGGTGCTGCCAAAAAGAAGTCAAAATTTAGTAAATTATTCAGAGGGATCCCACACTTCACACTGCTTATCTCATATGCATTGAGGTTGGATTGTTATTCCTACGTTACAAACCAAAAAATGAGACTCAGAAAGCTTACATAATTTGCCCAAAATTTCCAGGTGGTAATCAAGATTTTCACACAAAGCATCTTGGATACAGCACAACCTAAGATGAAAATAATTTAAATCTAAAATTGCACACAGGACAAAAAAGTGTCCTAAAGCTCTTTATATGGATGTCTGTTGGGACTGCCTGCCAGCATAGTCATCAGAAAAAAATACATCAAAATGTGGATGTGGCGATTCCACCTCTATCAGTATCCAAGGCGAAAGGAGGGAAGACCCAGGCATTGCATCTAGTCTCATTCAGTGCTCTGATGAGCCTGCCATGGAAAATGACTAATAATACAATACTGAATTCTTCTACCTTTCTGCCATTTCTAACTCTCCTTTCTAATTTTCTCAATTGTAATTTTGTAAATTTTCATCAGTCTAGGTTCAGTTCTAGAGGTTAAAGAAATGGCTTTTTTTTTTTAAATATACAGGGACTCTGAGCTTCTCAAAGCTATCTCAGTAGATAAGAAATCTAGTCACCTCTAAACAACTTAGCTCAGTAAGTGAAAAGAACAAGTGAAAGCCAACCATTTCTGACAATATTTGCAAGGTCCAATAATCTGGGCCCTCTCATAGCCAACTGGTAGGAGCATTAACTGGTAAAACTTTCTGGAAAGCTACGTAGCAATATGTATCCAGAGGTTTTTAAAAATGTGTATTGACAAGTAGACATCAGCTGTGAAGCATTCTCCAATCTCTAATACCTCTAATTAGTTCATTGGTAGTCTTCATAACCAGGAAACATGGATATTAGCATTACCATTTTATAAACAAAAAAAAAAAAATAATGAAATTCATAAAGATTACATATACCAAGAAAATCTGGAGGGTTTAAACTTTGGAACATTATATTGGTAACTATTGGTTCTTTCTCACCAACCTTGGTATATGACCAAAATTAGAGAAACTCTACCCAATTTAGATCTGCCTGTTTAACTCTAGAAATCCAAAAGCCTTTACTCTTTTCCCTAGTAGGCAGTAGTAGAGACTGTCATGGAAGTTCCATAGACAAGCTTGTTTTCTTGGAGCCAAAGCCTGGGCCAATGAGCCAAAAATTAAATGAGATGCCTAACATCGTTCCCTAGTGATTCTACAACCACAAACACATCCCTAAACACCCATCACCATCTCCCTGCCGACAGGCACCTGTCTAATGAGCTGCTTCTTCTTTGCTGACTCTGGCATGTTGTGGACATGTTGGAACAGCTCTTTCAGTGCCTCTTCTGTACGCTGTTGGGTCTCCTCCTGATGAGAGCAGGAATCTACCCGGTTCCGTTTCTGAGACTTTGCCAACTGGAAGGACTTAGTATGACATGAAGTTACCAAATCAAGGTCATCCTAAAGAAAAGTTAAAAGAAAAACAAGTTAATATATCCTGTCTGCTTTGCTTTCATGTTGCCATAAAAGCTTGGTGCAAAAAAATGGAGGGAGTGGGAGTACCATGGCACATTCCTATACCCAGGAATAAGAATACTCTTAATACTTCTGTCACGTAAAGAAGCACCTGTAATTATCAGTTACATTAACAGCTCCATTCCCATGACCTGACCAGAGAATCCTAAATTCACTCAGAACATTGCCAAGAGTTAACTTGTTTAAGAGTTTAGTTTGTTTCAAAGCATCCTTTCATCTCACGTAATTCTCACTGCTGTCCTCTGTGGGAAAAAAATCATCATTTCCATTTGATGGAAGAAAAAAACTGAGTTAAGCAATAAGCTGAAATTCATCTAGGTAGTCAAATGGCAAACCTACCCTGGAGCCCAAGTGCACTGGTTCTTGGCTGGTGCTCCTTCCCATACATGACAACAGGAGGCAAAAACTGCACGGCAGTGATAGAGGAACAAAAACCACAACTCTCTAAGAAAGTTAGAGACACTCTAGATAAACCAGATGGGATCAAATACTAACTCTTTTCTTGGTTAAACCAAATACTTGCTGAACAAAAGGCAGAAACTAAAGGAGAAGAAAAATTAGCATAATTTGAAGCTTAAGTTTCAAAGTTATGATAACTTCTTGGCCACAGCCAACCACACTGAGAGAGCAAGTAGTTGAACCTGTGGGCTCGGGACCATGGTCTCAGGGGACATCAAGTTCAAATGGCATAAAATACTAACACAAAACCTTGTGTTACTTTGGTAGGTAATGACTGGGGTCTTAAAAGCTTACAAGCAGCTATCTAGATATAACAATGAGTCTCTCCTTGTCCAGTGCAAAGAAGAATAAAGAATGAAGAAAACCAAAGACACGTGGAAACAATTAGTCCAAGAGACTGGCAGACCATGTGATTCTCAGCCTATATGACCATAAGACCAGAAGAACTAGATGGTGCTCAGCTACCACTGTCAACCACTCAGAAGGGGATTGGTGCAGGAGATCCTGTATAAAGTGAAAGTGAAAGAACAATGTAGAACAAAACTCAAAATCATGAAAAAAAAAAAAAGACCAGGTTTACTGATCTGGTGAGACTCCCAATACTACAGCCCTAGTTACCTTTCAGGTCTGGAATTCAACTCACTCCTGTGGCTTCCAGCCAAACAACAGACAGACACATAGGGTGAACATTTACATCAGGCAGATATACTCCTTAGAACAATCAATTGTGGGAGAATAGAAGGCCAATGTTTGCACAGGGAGACAGCTCAGGGAGCAGGAATGCACAGGAAAGAAGGATATAGGGAAGAGGTAACTACAGAGAAGAGTGGAAAGAGAGCTGTTACACTGTAGGGATTACAGTCAATGTCATGAAACAAAGTATGTATGAACTGCTATATGGAAATGAATTTGCTCTGTAAACTTTCACTCAAATCACAATAAAAATTAAAAAAAAAAAAAAAGAAGAAGAAGCTTAAGTTTCTAACCAAGACAGACTAAACAGAAATAGTCAAAAAGTGATTGTGCAATTTTTTTAAAACTTCTCACTTTTGATTTTGCTTGGGGGGGATTGAGTTTATGTCAATCGTATAGAATGATTTGAGAAAGAAGAGCAAGAATGGTTGCACAACTTAATGTAATCATGTAGAAATATGTTTTGTTCTATATATTTTCACCACAACAAAATTTTTTTTAAAGATATTTACATTAAAAATTTTTTTATTAAAAAAAACTTGTCACTTTTAAAGCTCAATATGACAATAATCATATATAGTCTTTCTATTAATAAGCATTTCCCTCTCTAAGCTCATGTGGTCTCAAGTCTTTCAGCCATCTGAGTTCTTTCTCACCACTGAACCTAAAATAAAAATGTACTTCCATTACTGTAAATGTTTAATATTTTGCATTTAAAGATTGTTCATCATATGCTACAAAGTCTTTATGAAAAAACATGACACATATAGTCTGTGCCATCACTCACACAGAGAGGACCCCACCCCTCAGTGGAACGCTTCAGAAAGCAGACAAGAATACTGTTTATAGAGGTATTTTTATTTCAACATATAAATTTCTTCTCCCCAGTCGTTTCCTTATCTCAGAAGACTAGCTAATTTTTGGAGCTGTAACTACATGGCTTTACAGTGATTTCCTATTTTTTTTTAAAGATTCACTAATTTAATGAATTCTATTTCATTAGGCTGAGAACAATTTCCTTTTCTTACCTTTGATGTTTGAGTTCTGGAGCCCAAGTAGTGCAACCTGGCACATTCACGAATATAAGCAGGAGCCTGGGCAAGACATAAAAGAACACCAAGACCCAATGGTCAGCAGAACCTAATATTCCCCTAGGCCACAAGGATAGTGGTTCTCAAACGATGTGGCTGGGAGATTACTTTGGAAAAGCAAAAGAGCCTCAAAATGCACTATTCTATAGCTTCCTCTTTCTTGCCACCAAAAAGATATCTCAGCAAATCATGTCAAAAAAAGAACAAAAAACTTGCTGTGAGAAGACATCGATGTAATTGTTGTTATTTAAAAAATTAAATATAGCATGTATCTACTCAAAGAAGCCAGGAACAAAACTATAGATGTTTGTAGTAACATTTATATTTGATAAAAACTACCCCAAGAATACTTACAAATTACATAAGCAGTTACCCAGCTGCCGTCCAGCTGTTTGACTCACGGTGACCACATGGTGTGCCAGAGCACTGTGCCCACAGGGCTTTCAATAACTGATTTTTCAGAAGTAGACAGCCAGGCCTTTCTTCCAAGGGGGCTCTTGGTGGACTTGGACCTTTGAACTTTCAGTGAGCAACCAAGCATGTTAACCATTTACATCACCACCGAGGGACTCATTCACAAATGTAAACTCACTGCCATCAAGTCAATTACAACTCACAGCAAGCCTACTGGACAGAGCACAACTGCCCCCTAGTGTTTCCAAGGCTGTAAATCTACGGAAGCTAATTGCCTCCTCTTGGTCCTACAAAGTGGCTAATGAGTTTGAACCACCAACCTTTTGGTTAGCAGCCAAATGCTTTAACCACTGTACCACCAGAGCTCCTTTCACAACTACAGAGTGAGTAAACCATTGCAAAGGGATATATATATTCAAGGGAAAGGAACTGTAGGGAAATTTTGAACTTCAGTCAATAGGTTTATTAGTAGTGACAGCTGTATTATTTTGAAACTAATTTTTTATCCTATTTTGTAGGATAAAGCAAATAATATATATAAATGCTACTAAACTCTGGAATTTACAGTCTAAGAAAAAAAAGAGATATAAATATAAAGTAAAAGAAGTCAAGAAAAAGCCCTATAATGTTAAATTCAAATTGGAAATATTAATGTGAGCTAATAGGGTTTATGTTTTTTGGGGTTTTTTTTTTAATCTACTTCCTTGCTGTGAATGAGCCTAGGAGCAATGAGTACACCTAGTGTCACACCAAGAAACCAGGGCTCCTTGGGGCAAATAATTGATTCCAGGTCTAGGGCTAAGCAAGTACATGGTGAACTGGAATATTTTATGTTAGAAAGTAAAGAAGCACTCTACGACTAGCAAAGTCTTGTCAGAAAGATAAACCAGCCAGCTTGTAAGGGCTATCACTGACTAAACTTGGGACAATCTGAATATCAAAATTAATACATGAAATTGATCAACACTTTAAAAACAAAACCAAACTGACTGCCATCGAGTCACTTCCAACTCATAGGGAACCCCCTTGGGTTTCCAAGGCAGTATCTCTATGGAAGCAGATGCCCGGTCTTCCTTCCGAGGAGTGGCTGGGGGGTTTGAACCACCAGCCTTCTGGTTTGCAGTCAAATGGCTTAGGCACTACATAAAGATCTATGGGTCTACAGTGATACTCATAAAAAAGAGAAGACAACTATTCTCAAAGTCAGCTTATAAAGATTAAATGACAGAACTAAAAAAAAATCATTATTTTGCAATACTCAATGTAGTCATTGATTCCAAACAGGATTATCAGTGGATGCTAGAACCACTATATTAGGTAATTACCATCCAGGTTACTTAGTAATTGCAAGAGAAAAATGTACCTTTATAATTGGTACAATGATCTGCCATTTAGCAAAATTAGCATTATTAAGAGCGAGGACGATACAACATTCTGTGCCTCCTAATGTTATGTAATATGATGTAATATAATGTACACAAACATCACCTATGAAGTATTTTTGCCAAAAATGGCTTAACCTGAATCTAATCAAGCCTCTAGAGTTAACTTCTGGTTACAGGAACCACACGGGAGAGGACAGAGGAACAAGGTAAATGACTTTGAGAAAACAGTAAGACAAATCTAGAATGTGGGACATTCTGTAACACACTTGGCCTGAAATTTTCAAAAAACCAATGGCATAGGGAAAAAGCCTGATTATTCCAGCTTAAAAGTGATAAAATACTCAAAAGCAGTACATAAACCTTGATTAGTGCATGCTGAAGAAAAAGCAGGTATAAAACACATTTTTGAGACAACTGAGAAAATAAGTACTGCATATTAAGATTATATAAAATTCTTCTTAATTTCTTACTTGTTATAATGGTACTGTGACTATTATTATTCCTAAGAGATGAATGCTTAAGTATTTAGGGGTGAAGTGTTATGATGTCTACAACTTACTTTCAATGGTTCAGGAGAAATTATGAGTAAATAGAGATGGCAAAATGGTAACATTCATTGAATCCGACGGTGAGTTATATAGATGAGCATTCACTATTCTACCCTTTCAACTTTTCTCTAATTTTAAAAAAGTGTCCTGTGACAAAGATATTATAGTAGCTATAGCTTAATTTTCAGATGCTCTGGTGGCATAGTACCTAAGGCATTTGACTGCTAACCAGAAGGCTGGCGGTTCAAACCCACCAGCCACTCCTCGGAAGGAAGGTTGGGCAATCTCTCTGTAATGATACTGCCTCAGAAATCCAAGGAGGGGTTGCTATGAGTCGGATCCAACTCCACAGCAGTGAATTTGTTGGGTTTTTTTTTAATAGCTTAATTTTTAACTTATGAAACTATACATCAGAGCTCAGTACCAAAAGAAATTTTCTTCAGACAAGAATATGACAGAACCCATCATGTCACCTATTCTATAAACTTCATTAAAAACACACACACACAAGCAAACCCACTGCTGACCAAAAATATACTATGAATTGAAGGGATATCCACAAAGGAAGCCAGAGACAAACAGGTATTAAAATGTATAGGGTAAACAACAAAAGGACTTCCCAAGTTAAATGGGAACCGGGCTTAACGATATAAATCCCAGGGAGAGGATGTGGTGGCACATGACTATAAAGAATTAACAGGAATTTTAGGAAAAAATGGTAGTTAGAGGGGAAAAAAAATTAAAAACAACAGCGAATGAGGCAACATAGAATCTGAGGATTAAAGTGAAAAGTCTACTCAAGGAAGCCCTGAGAACGTGAAGAAGATACCAAAAAATCACAGGAAGGGAATAAACAGGAGCCTGTAATAAGTGATAAAGAACTGAAAACAACCAACCATTCCTCATCAAGGAAAAATTTAATTCACTGAAGTGATGAAGCAGGTGGCTACAAGGACAACAGTTGGCACTCAAATTCAAAGAGAAGAGACCTAATGCCAAAGTAAGTCTCTCTCTCTCTCTCTCTCTCTCTCTCTCTCTTCCTTAAGAGATCAACAAAGGCTCAAAGAGTATTAATCTAGCCTGAAAACAAGGATATAGTAGAAACAAGAAGGTAAGGTTCTAAAAGAGGGATAGATCTATAAAAGAGAAAGGAAAAGTAAAAAGAATCTTTGACACAGTCTAATAATTAGAACCTGTAGCAAACTAAATTACATATGCAAGACTGTACTTGTGTTTTATTTCCAAGGCTTTTATGAACTGTACTCTCAAGAAGAGAGTACACAAATGAAGTACAACTTCATTGTACACTTGAATTGTGTATACTGGCAAGAGAGAAAGGCATCCACATGTGTAACAGTAGGTAGAAAAGCTGGAAACTGTTACGTGAAACTGTGAAGTGGAATACTGGTGACTGATATCTGAAATCCATCTCTCATTTAACTTGTGGGTGGTGGCTGTGAGGCTCTTTATCTTTTCAGAGGGCCCTTTGTATGACTGAGTACATACAAGAGAGAAGGTCTCTTCTCTTTGAATTTGAGTGCCAACTGTTGAAAAGTTAACCCCAAATCAGTGGTAACCAGAGAACTCAACTGAAGGAACTACTTATTAGGAACTGCCCCTAGGAATCCCCTATTTTGATTTACAGTTACTGCCAGGTACTGCCTTCCTCTCCATATTCACAGCTCTTCTCTACTTACAAAGCCATGCTTTGGAACTAGTTCTTCCTCTAAACAGGAAATATATAAAGAACTCTTAGTTTGCAAGATCTTCGTTCATCATTAAAAACGTTTCTTTCTTCTGGTGTCCAGAAGACCCTCACCTCGTACTTTGGTCATGCATCTTACTTCTTACTGCATCTCTGACCCTATGTTTTCCAGTCTATTAAGCCAAAGATTCTGATCTTTCATCTCTAAACTCTGGACTCTAAATTGCTTACCAGCCTATAGTACACAGATCCTAGGGTGACCCCTATATTCACACTCTTCATAATCCCCTCTCCCTGAGTGTGGGTGAGACTTGTCAACTGCTTGCAACCAACAGAATACTGGTGATTGAATGTCACTCTTGTCATTAGAGTATGTTATATGGCAAGGGGATGTGATGTCAACTGTGATTAGGTTATGATATGTGGCTCTGTTTTGCGAACATACACTAGAAAGACTCTCCTACTGGGCTTGAACAATCAAGTAGCTATGATGTGAGAGGAGAGAGAGAAACTGGGGGAAGAATCGTTAAACAAAAAAGAAGCAAGAAATTTTCCATGTCTCCAGATGGCAAAACATGATAAAATTAAGAGATTCACTACCAGGAAAACATTCTGTAAAGAAAGAGCCTCTGCTAAAACCTTAGAAAGATCAAAAGGTCAGAGTACTCAGTCATATAAAGGGCCCTCTGAAAAGATAAAGAGCCTCACAGCCACCTGCACGCCACCCCGTCCTGTCAGTGTGCCACACCATGACGGGTTGCATGTTGCTATGATGCTAAAAACTATGCCACTAGTGTTTCAAATACCAGCAGGGTCACCCATGGTGGACAGGTGTCAGTGGAGCTTCCAGACTAAGACATAACTACTTCAGACAATTAGCCAATGGATCACAACATAATATGATACTGGGAGGTGAGCCCCCTAGGCTGAAGGCAGGCAAAATACAGGGTGGCCACAACAATGGACTCAAGTGCACCAAAGTTCATGAAGATGGCACAGCACCAGGCAAATCCCTTTCTGTTGTACATGGGGTCACCATGAGTCAGAGCCAATGTGATGGCAACTAATACCACAGCCATCTCAGCAGAAGGCCAAGGCAGAGAAGGTTTAGCTTCAAAAGATCGGGCTTTTGTCTAATGGAGCGAATCCTACTAAAATCCATAGAAGATACACAAAATTTTGACAAAATTATTTCAACAGAAACAATGCCCATTTAGACCAAAATGGACAAGAATGCAAAATGAAAAGGAACTGTCAGAGACCCTCAAAATTCTTCTGGCAGAAAACAGGCTAATAAAACTCTCAGCTGCCAGCAGATGCTACCTATCATCAGGACCCCACCTTGCTCCATCTTCCTTGTCCTGTTAGTAACCAAGCACCATCCCTTACCTACCTTAAAAAGTTTCTGGGAGTGTTTAATCATAAAAGCCATCCCATTGTTTAACTTTGTGATGTTTTCTTGAAGGTCATTTGCAGTAACCTATTCAGAGGAGAAGAAAGGGCGGGAGGGAAGGACGCATTGAGAGCTGGGAAGCAGAAGGCAGAGAGACTGCATTTACTTAATCAGCTTATTTTTTCAAAATGTGTAACAAGTTGTATCTTTAACACAGGTGCCACTAATACATTTAATTGTAGAAAGGCTTTTCATTTTCAGTTCAACAGGTTTCTCCAGGATATAACATAATCTAGGAAAGAACCAGTATTTCCCTGGAGTGACCAGGAAATTCTTAAGAACCAATCTTCATTTCCTAATCCTGCCTGAAAATTAGACATAGAAGCAAAATGGCTAATGAAGGTCTAGTTTGAGATTCAAAACAGGTAGGGAGAACAGAATTTGTACAAACCATCAAGGAAATCGAAGTTTCTCTAAAGACAGAAGAGAACTGGTGCTCCCAGTTGGTACCAAAGGTAGTATCTGTTTCTTAAAAACACAATTCTCATTGATTCCCTTCTTGTTTCTCCTGTCTCTTTTTGAAGTACTTCAGTATCTCTTCCATCCCAAAGCCTTCTTCCTCAACATTGTATTTGTTAACTTATCTACTATTTGCTTTTACCAAGACTCCTTAGATGCTTCTTTTGTGGCCATAGTTTTTTCACTCCTTTTCTATGTCTTGGTTAGCCGGGTCTAAAAGTCCTTCGTGAGAAGGCCTGACTTCCTTAAGATGGACAAGTGTCAGTGTGTCTTCTTGTCCCTCACCAGCCTTTCTCTGGGCAAAGGCTGTCACTCCTGGCCCAGAGCTTTGTATTTTTCCCCAGCTACTTGTTAGGTAAATTGTTCCACAGACTCTCTCCTTTACCTTCCTTTTCTCATTTCTCACAATCCCAAAAATCTGCATAGGTCACGATAACCTGGCTATTTCTGTTATCTTTCCAGCCTTGTGAAGTAAGTGGTAAAGGTACTATTGTGCCCAGTTAGCAGAGAAGAAGCCTAAGTAGAAAGGATAGAGGACATGTCACATAGCTGGCTTGTAGCTTCCAACCCAGGTACCCTGTATTATGGGTGGGCAGACAAATGAAGCTATGTGCCTCCAAATCAAAAATTGGTTCAAGAGACTTTATTTCTCATGTAAGTCACTTAGCAGACCATGGTCTTAGTAAAAAGAAACACATTCAGCTTTATCCAAGGAGACTGTATCTGTACGAAATAGAAAAGTTAAGACAAAGCAGGATTACTCTGTGTGTTGTCTATCGTAAAGCTCTATTCTCTATTTATACTCACCACACAAATTTCAGACATTAATTTGTTTTCCTAAGAAGGCTTTCCTATTAAGAAGGAATGCACACTGATCAGCCAAAATGAGTATTCTAGTTGATTAGTTAGTAGCTATAGTTCTCCACTAGGAGTTTCAAGTAATAAATTGCTATTTCAGTTTATCAGATTGATTTACAAGCGAAGTTAACAAGAACTGGTCCCCTCAGGTTTGATAACTCTTGAATGAACTAATAAATAAGTTCCTAACCTCATACAGCTGAACACTAAACCTTGGACCCTTGATAACCTCATAAGGTGTGGCCACAAGCTGAGGCCCAGCCCAAGAAAACCAAGCAATTTTTCTTCTTCCCTTTAGTCTCTCCCAATACTCACATTTTTTGGCCACAGAACATGGGGTGCAAACATTAGAGCAAGGTTATAGGCAGACATTTTATTCTTGTCTTGTTTCTTTGCTGTCTGATATAGGAGATCAAGCAGTAACTTCAGCAAGTTACGATTGGGCGGAGGGAGAATAAGGAAGAGCAACTGCAGAGCCTCAATTTGCCTCTCTTTATCTGGTATATTGGTCCTGTTGCCTTTATCATCAAACTGCATCAAATCTTTAAAAAAAAAAAAAAAATGAGGTTATTACACAGGAGGAAGAAAATAACAAGGAAAGATAGATATATATATCACTGATCCTATTATCATCTCTATTCCCATCAGAAAAAAAAAAAAAGAAAAAGAAACAAAATTAAAGACTATAGCAAAATAATGCCAATACAATCAACAATTAAAAGATAAAAAATAATTCAGTTTACAAATGGGCAAAGGATTTGAATAGACATTTCTCCAAAGAAACTATGCAAATGGCCACTAAGCACGTGAAAAGATGTTCAACTTCATTAGTCATTACGGAAATGTAAATCAAAATCACAATGAGATAACACTTCATAGCTACTGTTGTTGTTGTTGTTATTTGCCATTGAGTCAGCCCCGACTCCTAGCGACCCCTCCTTGGGTTTCCGAGGCAGTTATCACTACGGAAGTAGGATTGCCCAACCTTCCTTCCGAGGAGTGGTTGGTGGGTTTGAACCCCCAGCCTCCTGGTTAGCAGTCAAGTGCCTTAGGCACTATGCTACCAGAGCTCCTTCATAGCTACTAGGATGGTTATAAATTTAAAAAAAAAAAAAAAATTAAAAAGACTGACAGTAACAAGAGGTGAGTGGAATAAGAACATGGAGAAAACTGAATCCTCCTACATGACTAGTAGGAATGTAAAATGGTGCGATGCAATGAAAATAAGACTGGAAGGTCCTCGAAAAGTTAAACATACAGTTCCCATATGACCCAGCAATTCTACTCTTAGGTACATAGCCAAGAAAGATGAAAACATGTCCACATAAAAGCCTGCACACACATGTTCATAGCAGCATTATTCATAAAAGCCAAAAAGTAGAAACAACTCAAATGTCCATTGTGGTAGTTACGTTTGTGTGTCAACTTGGCTGGGCCTGGTTGAGTGGCTGGGCAGCTGGTGATAGTTAATCCCCATGATGAGACTGGCAATCAACTCCACTGCAGGATCTATCACAAGCAGCTGAGATGTGGGATGTGGTCTGCTTCCTAGATTTAAGGAGAAGCCTAGGGAATGGTCTCTAGCCTATGGCACACTTGGACCCTGCATGTAGCCGTGTCATTGCTCAGCAGCTTGCCATGCTCTGCCAACCTTGGGACTTACAATGGACTTAAGTTAATGGCCTGCTGTATAGTTTGGTAGTATCGGGACCGTGCTGTTTTACTTGTCAAACTTGGGGCTTCTCAACCTAAGCAGCCAGCAGCTTCTGAGTGAAGAAATGCCTCTAGCTCCAGTGGGCCGGAAGCAGGAGGCAGAGCTGGACCCCAAGGTTGAGGGGCTTTCACCCAGCCCCTAGAGCCTGGCACTTTGAATTTGGACTTAAAGTCTCCAAATTGTAAGAATAAAATCCTATTTGTTAAGGCCATCCCATTTGTGGTATATTTTTGTCAGAGTGGCACTAGGTAACCAGAACATCCATCAACTGAAAAATGGATAAACAAAATGTAGTACATTCCTACAATGTGATATTATTCAGCCATAAAAAGGAATGAAGTACTGATACATGCTAGAACATGGATGAACCCTGGACCATGCTGTTAAAGAAGTCACATGTTTAAGACCATGTGCTGTATGATTCCATTTATACACAATGTTCAAAATAGGCAAATTCATAAAGACGGAAAGTAGTTTAATGGTTGCCAGGGGCTTGGGGAAGAAATGGAGAGTGACTGCTAATGGGTATGGGATTTCTTTTTGAGGTCATGAATGTTCTGGAATTACATTTGTTGTTGTTGTTGTTATGTGCCGTCGAGTCAAACCTGACTCATAGCGACCCCTCCTTGGATTACATAGTGGTGATTATTGCGTAATTCTGTGAATATACTAAAAACCACTTTAACAGTGATTTTTATGATATGTGAATTATATTTTATATATATACCCACTCCTCACATATCACTATGGTTAGGTTCCAAAGATCAGGTCATTATGTGAAAATCCACATTATGCAAAAACGGAGGATGACCACATCAGATCTCAAAACAGAATGTGTATATCATTATATAACTGTCAGATTACATCATTATATAACTGCCAAACCACTGAGAACCACGGCCCAGCCAAGTTGACAAAATATCCTTAACCATCACAGCCAGCATTATCTCGCCTTACACCTGTGCATTCATTACTGCCAGACATATACTGTTAATGCACAAAACAGTCAGTAGATTTTTGACTACTGTCATCAATGTGCAATGTCAGATAACTGGAGAGTCATTTAGTGAGGAGTAAAAGCAATCCACTTACAGCACTTGGACTAGAATCTCTAAACTGGCTATAATTTACATATGATCTTATGACAAGCTTTTAAGGCAAGGATGATGCTCTGCTTTAGGAACACCCTGCTAATGAATTTTTTTTACTTTAATGATGTCACCCACTACACTTTCCCCATGGAGATATAGTACTGCTAAAAGAAAAAAAGAGAAATCATGCCCCTATAGCCAGAATCATTGTTTCTCCTCTAATAGGCTATGAAAATTATCAATAAAAACAGTCCTCAGAGGAGAGAGAGGGAGAAGAGAGCTGTTGAATTGTAGGAAATTGCAGTAAATGTCATGAGACAAAGTGTGTGTGAGCTGCTGTATGGAAGATGAATTTGCTCTGTAAACTTTCACCCAAATCACATAAAAATTTAAAAATTTTTTTAAAAGTCCCCAGATAATAAGAATTTTGGGTATAATTTTATATAGACCTAAAAATGATTATAGTGTACTCTTTAAGCTGCTTAACCTCCACAACAATTCCAGGTTTTGGAAAGTCATATGATATTTCTAGAAATATTCCCTGTTAACATGAAATTGAAAACGAAAATCCCTCCCAGATATCAGCAAGGCTAATCAAATACCACACCTGTGCCCAACCTCAATATGATCCCAAAGAGCAGTGAATCTCAGGATAGGAGAGGGGAGATTTCAAATACCACACTAAACAAACTCAACAGGAAAGCAAACTGAGCACGAATCCTTCATGTGAACACTTATACAAAGAGTTTGTCAATATTTTCCCAATTTTTTTCAAAGATTAATAACTTAATGTCTCCCAAAAATAATAGGAAAACTATCTAACATTCCAGTAATATCTACTCATTTGTATCATCTAGATTGCTACTTCAACTGATTAAAAAAAAAAGTCTGATCTTACTAGATTTTAGAAATTCAAAGCTGGTCTTTTGTTTTGTTTTGTTTTGTTTTAAGGCAATAAAAAGTATTAAAAAAAAATCATACATTTTTTCCCTAAAATTAGAAGAAAGATGAAAGGATATGTCCAAGGGCAGAAGCCTAAGTAAAAGCAGTATGGATTTTGATGCTGGAAGCACTTAGAGCCTACAGCAATATAACAACGATGCAGTTTAAGAATGAATTCCCTGCCATGGAGGCATAAAAGAGAATGAGGAAATGACTCATGAACTGAAAAAGGGGACAATCTCCAAGATACATTAAGTGAAAAACGTAAACCACAAAACCATGTGTACAATGGCCTACCATTACACAAAAGAGGGGAAAAGAATATAGGTTAAGCATCTGTTTATAAGTGTATAAAATATCCCTGCAAGGATATATTAGAAACCAGTAACACTAGTTGTCTCTGGGAAGAAGTTAGTGCTGGGAAACAGGATGGAAGGGACTCTTTTCACTGTATATTCTTTTGAACCTTTTGAATTTTGAATGCTATAAATGTGTCGCCTATTCAGAAAACAAATCATTTTTAAAAATGAATTTCCAATTTGCAAACAGAGAGTGATGATGGTTGAACAACATGATGAATGTAATTGATGACTGAATTGTACATATAAAAAATGTTGTTGAAATGATTTAAAAAAAAACTAATTTCCAAAAGTAGAGATGAACTCAACTGAAGCATGGTAATACTCAGCAACAGTCCCCAACCAAAGCTACCACACCAAACTAGTAACAATCTCATGCATATCTGTCAACCCAATGAACAGCACACATTTATTGAACAACTGTAATACACAAAGCATTGTGTTAGGCTCCATCGGGGACACACAAATAAATACAACACAGACCTTATCTTCAAGAAAAACATTTGATTACGTCAAACTTAACTGAGCAAGTACTTACTGAGTACCCAAAAAAGCCCCACAATATCACTGAGTCGTAACCAATATTAGAAGTACTGCTGTGGGTTACTACAGAGAATTCCAAAGGACTTGACTAAATTCAAAGAAACGTATTGCATATCTGTCCCAATTTCTATACTCACCAGCAATTTTGAGGTGTGCATGGAAGTGTTTATGCGTCAGCAGGGGCTCTGGTAACTCTCCTAAAAACATCTTCAGCAAGGTAGCAACGTCATTTGAGTGAAATGCCCCTGATTCCAAGTCAATATCAGTTCCATTATTGAGAGCATCCCTTAATGTCTGTTGCCGAACACTATTCCCTGGCACTCGAAACAAACCTTCTACTCGTAAGTCTGCTTAGCACAGCAAAAAAGAAGCAAAAAGATAATTATTCAGATGAGTAGTGTAAAAGACATTTTACTCTTAAAACGTCATTTATAAAAACTTTGAGGGAGGTTTTTGCCTTTTTTCCCAGAGTTCAAAACCAACTAGCCCTCTGACGGGACTTATCTGACCACCTCAGAGCACCTGGAGATCTCCCAGACTAAAAGATGGTCCTCCTAGGATTCATTCGGCCTCTTGGAGACTGAATTTAACCTAACCAATGGTTACAATGAGCTTGGAAAATAAATTAGAAGAAAAGCCTAATCTCCCTAAATGCCCTCTCCTCTTGGTAGTCCCAGACTTTGGAGGAGCTGACTTCATCTGTGGAGGTTTGTTGCACCTGCAAATTGTTTTCCTAGCCCAAACTGAATATAGAGCCTCTGCAATGCTCCAACTGTAACCTGTCATGTCACCTTTCTGTCTAAGAGATTCCCAGAAGCTTAGTTATCCCAACTAAACTATTCTTTCCCCAAACTATGTCCTAAACCAATCTAAGGGAAGAAAAAAAGATGGAAGTATACTTTTGGTCTGATCTGAAAAAGAAGAGAAAGCTCTTATTTCTAGCTTAGGCACATAGTCTTCTTGGTTATAACTATCTAATTCAAGGGTCTAAGTTCAAATCCAGGTACTAATAAATTAATGAACGGGAACTGTAGTGAAGAGCCCATACCTCTGCTCTAGACTGACAACAGAACCCAAGGATGCTAGGAGATCTTCCTATTATCCAAAGAAGCTGTACACCTGGACTCTCCCCATTTTAAAACACTGAAAACTAATTTTATTTTTAATTTAATCCTTTACAAACCAAACAAAACATGAATGCAGATGACTCAAGCCCTTGGGTTACCAATAGGCAACCTCTGCTCTAGTAGCACCATATCCCACACAGAATCCACCATAAATGTTTGTGTTGAATTTATTAAGAAAATATTTTCTTAAATTTTGGCACCACATAAGGCCACACATTTCACATATACTCAGTTGTGCCAAACACTCAAGAGCAATGACATGGCCAGTATGACTACTGAAACATGAAAATGGAATTAAGTAATGTATTTTAATCATAAAATTCTGGAGATGAAAAGTATCTTTGGTGATAAATCATGCTCCCTGAGTAAATGTTAGATTCTTGAATGATTTTCCAAAAGAAATATCTTTCTGAGTTAAGACAAAATGGGATTTCACCAACATTATCTAATTTATATACATCTTTGAAAATCTAAAGTAAATCATACATGAAATGAAAGTTAAAAGAAAATATATTTAGAAACTTGCCACCTGGAATTATTGCTGGTTAATTTTTTTGTTGATGGGTATTTGGCACCTACTTTCCCAACTCAGGGCAGTTAGCTCTCAGTAGAAAACTGACCATCTTCGTTGAACAAAGAACAAAATTTTGAGTAGTCTTACTTTTGTGTAGATATTCAATCAGTTGGTATATCTGTGCAATGCCCTCCTCTGTCAACGGGGATCCAAATACCACTCCTTTTTCTATAAAAACATATGATAAGACAAGGCTAGATTTTATACAAACAATACAAATCCATCACACTGAAATCCATTTAAGCACGGTTTTACATTTCAGCAAATATTTGCACAGTCAGTAAACAAAGCCTTACAGCTGGAAGTGCAAAGAGAAAGCAATCAGAACTCTCAACTCTGATCAAGTTTAAATTTGGATGATAGGTTCTTTGAAGCCAAGACCATCTTCTCATTTAAGTAGCAATGCCTAACATGTTGATATTTATTTTGTGTGTGTGTGTTGAAAAATTCTTGAAAAAAATTGTTTTAACTTTTATTGATATATAAGTGAACGTTAACAGATCAAATTGGTTTTCCATCAACCAATTCATACACATTTTGTTTCACGACACAGACTGCAATGTCTACAATGTAATGGCCCTCTTCCCATTTCCTCCCTGTGCTTCCTGTCTCCATTTGTCTTTCCTTCCTATTCTTTCCTACCTTACGAGCTTTATCCTTCAGCATTTATCAAAAGCTACTGTTCATATCTGAAAGGTTGATTATTCTAAGTAGTGTGTACCTCCCTGTGTTACTGTTCACCTTCTATGCCTGTCTATTGTTTGACTTGAGTCATGGGGCTGAGTTCACTTCCAGGCTTGAAGAATGACTAAGGGCCACAGTCTTCTGGGTTCCACCAGTCTATATTAGGCCAGTAAACCTGGTTGCATGCTGATAGCTAATTTAAAAACAAAAATCAGAACTTAAGAGCCAAGATTGTCAAAGCATCACAGATTATCCACTGTAGTTGGCACAGTTCTGATCTGTTACAATATTTAAACATTTTTTCCTATCTTAATGATTTATTTAGGCACTCAAAAGCAGTGCTACAATTTCTTTATTTCCTGGGAAGGCTTTTTTTGGGAACAATTCGTAGAGATCTGTCTTACCGAATCATTCCACAGAATAAAAATATTTGAGAACTACTGCAATTAAAAAATGTTCAAGTTTTATTTACTGTATTCTCCAGCTGTATTACATTTTTAAAAAGTATCATTTTATTACACTATTAATAAACTCACAGCCATGACTCATAGCAACCCCTCCTTGGGTTTCCGAGGTGGTATCTATACGGAAGTAGTGAAAATAAACGTGGCATTGATAACCACTTACTCACTGCATCTCCTAGAAGCTAAATATATTTGCTTTAGTATAATTATTTCTTTACTTTGACTGTTTTTATCATTTTTATCACTATTATGTAAGGTTTCACTACATATGAAAATTACAAAATTGACACAAAATGCTTTATGGTAATGGTGATTCCTCAGTTAAGAATGTGTAGATGTTAAGAGCGAAGCCCAGGAAGCCAGAGACTCACTCATTTTCAGTCTCCTACCTTTTCGTTTGAGAGACATTAGAGACCGGAAGAAGCCTGATGCTGGGCCAGCCCCACCTGGCAATTTAAGATCCACTTCCCCCATCAGCTGAGCCAACTCAGTTCCAGGTAAATCAATAAGCCTTGTAATATTGCTGACCACCAACTCTGTGAACACCTCAGGTTTCTCATGTCGGAGCTTCTCCACAAAGAAGTCAGGGTTGAAGATAACAGGCTGACCTCGAAGGGAAGAGTCATTGCAGATAACAAAATTGCAGATGGCATCTCTGAAAAAAATGAAACATGGAAAAATCTTTAGAGGGATTTTTGTACGTGTCTCTCATGCCCTCTCAACCACACAATACTTATGCTTTCTCTGGCTTACTCTACACATTGGTCTTTTAAAAAACATAATCTTTAATCTGCTGACAGCAGAAAGAAGACAATTTGGGTTTGTTGCTATTTAGATTTTAGCCACCTTAATAAAAGGTAATTAATTAGTAGTTTAGTTTGATGCCAAATAACCTCTATGATACAACCTGAAGTTGCCTCTTAATTTTAGGCATACACCCTAGACACATACAGATCACTAACAAGTTCCCAGGTCCAACGTGGTTGTTGTTGTTAGGTGCTGGTGAGTCATCTCTGACTCATAGCAACCCTATGTACAACAAAACAAAACACTGCCAGGTCCTGCGCCAGCCTCACAATCCTTGCTATACCTGAGCCCATTGTTGCAGCCACTGTGTCAGTCCATCTCATTAAGGGCCTTCCCCTTTTTCACTGACCCTCCACCTTACCAAGCACGATATCCTTCTCCAAGGAATGGTCCCTTCTGACAACAGGACCAAAGTAGGTGAGATGAAGTCTGTCCATTCTCATTTCCAAGGAGCATTCCAGCAGTCCTTCCAGGACAGACTTGTTAATTCTTCTGGCAGTCCATGGTACTTTCAGTATTCTTCACTAATACCACAATTCAAGAGTGTCAACTCTTCTTTGGTCTTCCTTATTCATTGTCCAGCTTTCACAGGCACATGAGGCTACTGAAAATACCATGGTTTGGGTTAGGTGCTCCTTAGTCTTCAAAGAGACACCTTTGCTCTTCACCACTTTAAAGGGGTCTTTTGCAGCAGATTTGCCCAGTGCAATACGTCATCTGTTTCTTGACTGCTGCTTCCACTGCTGTTGACTGTGGATCTAAGCCAAATGAAATCTTTGACAACCTCAATCTTTTCTCCATTTATCATGATGCTGTTCACTGGCCCACTCATGAGGATTTCTGTTTTCTTTATGTTGATGTGTAATCCATACTGTAGACTGTATTCTTTAATCTTCATCAGTAAGTACTTCAAGTCATCTTCACTTTCAGCAAGCAAGGTTGTGTCATCTGCATGTCACATATATATTCCTCCAATCTTGATGCCATGTTCCTTCATATAGTCCAGTTTCTTGGATTATATGCTCAGCATACAGATTGAATAAGTATCGTGAAAGAATATAACCCTGATGTACTTCCTTCTGTTTGAACAATAGCCGCCTGGTCTATGTACAGGTTCTTCATGAGCACAATTAAGTGTTCTGGAATTCACATTCTTCTCAATGTTATCCATGATTTGTTATGATCCACACAACTGAATGCTTTTGCATAGTCAATAAAACACAAGTAAACATCTTTCTGGTATTCTTTGTTTTCAGCCAACATCTATCTGACATCAGCAATGACATCCCTCATTCTACGTCCTCTTGTGAATCCAGCTTGCATTTCTGGAAGTTCTTTGTCAATATATTGTTGCAACCATTTTTTAATGATCTTCAGCAAAATTTTACTTGTATGTGATATTAATGGTACTGTTCGATAATTTCCATATTCTGATGGCAGTGAGTTTGGTTTTTTGGGTTTGTTTTTTATTTTTTTGGTTGGATCACCTTTCCTTGAAATGGATACAAACATGGATCTCTTCTAGTCAGTTGCCCAGGTAGCTAGCTGTCTTCCAAATTTCTTGGCATAGACGTGTAAGTGCTTCCAGTATAGCATTCGTCTGCTGAAACATCTCAGTGAGTATTCTGTCAACTCCTGGAATCTTGTTTTTCACCAATTCTTTCTGTGCAGCTTTGACTTCTTCCTTCAATACCATTGGCTTTTGATCATATGCCACCTCCTGAAATAGATGAACATCGACCAATTCTTTTTGATACAGTGACTCTGTGTATTGCTTCCATCTTCTTTTGATGTTTCCTGTGTCGTTCAATATTTTGCCATAGAATCTTTCAATATTGCAACTCACAACTTGAATTTTTTCTTCAGTTCTTTCAGCTTGAGAAATGCCAAGCGCACTCTTTGCTTTTGGTTTTCTAACTCCAGGTCTTTGCATATTTCATTATAATAACTGACTCTGTCTTCAGGAGCTGCTCTTTGAAATCTGTTCAGCTCCTTTATGTTGTCATTTCTTCCATTTGTTTTAGCTACTCTCTATTCAAGGGTAAGTTTCAGAGTTTCTTCTGACATCCATTTTGGTCTTTTCTTCCTTTCCTGTCTTTTTAATGACCTTTTGATTTCTTCATGGGTAATGTTCTTGATGTCATCCCACAATTCATCTAGTTTTCTGTCATTGTGTGCAATGTGTCATATCTATTCTACAGATGGTCTTTAAATTCAGGTGGGATATAATCAAGGTCATATTTTGGCTCTTGTGGACTTGTTTTAGTTGTCTTCAGCTTCAACGTGAACTTGCATATAAGCAATTGATGGTCTGTTCCACAGTAAGCTCTTGGCCTTGTTTTGGCTGAAGATATTGAGCTTTTCCACCACCCCTTTCCTTTAAAAAAAAAAAAAAAAAAACTCACTGCCATCAAGTCGAATCCAACTTACAGTGACCCTTCCTTGCATTTCCAAGGTGATATCACTATGGAAGTACGTTGCCCAATCTTTCTTCTGAGGAGTGGCTGGTGGGTTTGAACTGACAGCCTTCTGGTTAGCAATCAAATGCCGTAGGCACTGTGCCACCAGAGCTCCCAACAGATGTAGTCTATCTGATTCCTGTGTATTCCATCTGGCAAGGTCCATACATATAGCCGCCATTTATGTGGTTGATAAATGTACTTGCAATGAGTAAGTCACTGGTCTTGCAAAATTTTATCACACAATCTCCAGCATCATTTCTATCACCAAGGCCGTATTTTCCAACTACCGGTGATTCTTCTTTGTTTCCAACTTTTGCATTCAATCACCAGTAATAACCAATGTATCTTGATTGCCTGTTTGGTCAATTTCAGACTGCAGAAGTTGGTAAAAATCTTCAATTTCCTCATCTTTGGCTTTGGTTGTCGGTGTGGAAATTTGAATATTTCAAGTCATCTTCCTTAACGGGTCTTCATTATGTTGTTGTTATGTGCCGTCGAGTCGGACCCAACTAATAGTGACCCATTGTTGGGGGTGGCACAAAACAATGTTCTGGGAGGTGCTCACTCTCTCTCAGGTGCTTAGAGTTCTGATACTATAATTGGCTAGTTTGACCACCCTGCCGGGCTCAAAAGGAGGCCTCCTAGAGGCAGAACTCTCTCTGACTGCTGGTGGAGGAAGACGTGCTGCTGAAAGAGACACGCGCTCCTAAACAAGACATGTGCTGCTGGGAAAGAGACACAAGAGAGATGCATTTCTGAGTGAGACACCGAGGGACCAGCACTGCAGGGAAAGAGACTGTGAGAGACTGTTAGCTGAGGGACGGTGGGCTGGGAGAGAGACTGAGCATTTTTTCTGAACTCAAATTGTAGCTTGGTGCTTCCCTAATAAACCTCATAATCTGTGAGCTCTGTGTGGCCACTGCAGCGAATTATCGGACCCAGGAGAGAGGTGGTGGTGCTTTGGGAGGAACGGTTGGTGAAAGGGCTGGAGGGAGGCAGCATGTCTGGCCTGGCAGGAATAGGCCTTGGGTTACTGCTGGTAATCCTGTCTTCCTCTTGTAAGATTAGAGGAGGTCAGAACATGTGGCCTCCTTGCCTCTTTTGCACCCATCCTTGGGTTTCTGAGGCAGTATCACTACGGAAGTAGATTGTCCAACCTCTTCCTTGTATGCATATGTATATTATCCTATCACTGACAGCATTGTACTTCAGGACAGATCTTGAAACACAGCTCCAACAGTATGTTAGAAATGGTAGTCATGGATACAGGGCTTGGAACTGGTTCATTCTGGTTGGATCCCCTGCTGACAATTTGCTTTTCTACTCTATACATACTGAATCAGAGTCTACATTTTAATAACACCCCCAGGTGGCTCTTAGGTATGTATACCTGTTAAAATGTAGAGACTCTGATTCAGTATATCAGGTTGAAATGCAAATTCTAAGTGTGTGTTGGGGGGAGGGGGACTGGAATGACCAGCTCCAAGGCCCACCCACAGACCACATTTCCTATTAAAACAGTCAAATCCTTAATTATTATTGTTAAATACCTGATTAAACTTCAGACCTGCACCTGTGACTCCTAACACAGTAAATGGGTAATCAATCATTAAATTAAAGCCTTCCTGGTAATACGCATAGGAGAATGCAGTACTGGGCTGCTAACCAAAAAGTCAGTGGTTTGAACCTACCAGCTGCTTTGAGGGAAAAGGCTGAAGCAATCTGTTTCTGCAAAGATTTACAGCCTTAGAAACTCTAAGGGGCAGTGCTACTCTGTCCTATAGAGACACTGTCAACTTGATGTTTTGTTTTTTTGGTTTATCTACTAAATGATACTGAGCAGATATGTTCTATTGGCCCTTGATCTTAGCTTGATCTTTTCCACTCCTACATTATATTGAGCTGTACTCCTGCCAGAGCTCCTCTGACTCTCAGAATATTTTCTTGCCTATTTGTTTCCCAATGCCTGACTACTATACCTCTTTTCACTTTTTATATATTGTTACAGTTATTACTGTTCCATCCCTTGTAGCAGACACATCACTTGTTTTTTTCTATCAACAATTAACTTTAATGGCTTGTTCTAATTCTTATTATAAAATTAATTTATTATATAACTGATGAATACAACACGACTCCGAAGGGACAAGTCATCACATCTCAGGCAAAGGTGAAGTTCATCTGACTCATAAAAACATTCCCACAATAAAAACAATCACAACTTAAAAGTCTTCCGCTACACCCCAGATCCAAAGCACTATTCCAGAAAACAAAACACCTCTAAAACAGAACTAATCTGCAACACACTCTGCCAATGATACATGGATACCTTTCAATATTGATATAATGAAAACAAGGCATGAGTAAACTTCAAAGTTCATCACCACTTCCTTGAAAAATGATTACATAATTTTAATCAACTGCCCAATCTTAGTTGGTTGTTTCTAGATTCTTTTTTTCCTCTAAAATGATAATGCACAATGAGAATTCATATAAAAATTTAAAACTATGAATGTGGGTTCTGAAGGCAGTCACTAAAGAAAA